CCAATAGCGTAGCGGCACTTCTTGCTGACGTCATAGAAGTGTTCAATCTGGTCAGTCTGTATCAGATCCCGTTGCAGCCCTCCTTTTTTAAGAGATTGGGTATGGGAGGGAAAATACGAGAGGGTTGTGTTTCTGATCACTGTGGTGAGTTCCCTGGAAAACACCGGGACACATATTCATGTATAAAAGACGTACAAAAGATTGCATTTGCCTATGACCTAGTCACCTGTACAGGACTATGGGGATATGGAGTAGAAGCCAGTGCAGTGAAGAGTTTGCCGTGAGAGGTGTCATAACAAGGCTTGTATGCTTAATCATTGCAAGGGTTTCCCTTTTATACAATTATCTATGGTAATTTTGGCCCCAGTGGCTGCAGTTTTACTTAAATAAATGGTATTTTTAATTTGGACAAGATGTTTGACTGAATACGGATGAATGTGCTTGTTAGGGTAGTTATTCCCTCACTCTTTATTCTCATATTGTAGATCCATTCATTGACGGTGCTTAAATTCCCGTATATACAGCTTATTATTCAGCATGGATCATAAACACAATATAGGATATTTTACCTACGATAGGTAGTACCGGAGTCGCAGCAGTACTCAGTACCAGGAGGTCGTGGCTATAAAGAAGTGACATATTTAGCATGGATCAGATCTGGTGCAGGGTAGGCTTGCGTTGCGTGCAATAAATGCAAAGGGAGATTGGTAGGAAGTGAAAAGAGCACAAACACCTTATTTGCAAAAATATGTACTGGTTTTGACAAATGCTGATTCCTCCCACCACCTTGGTATGCATCTTGTTTGAATGTCTGTTGATTTGAAGTGGAAGTGATAGTTTTGAGGATGCTGACAGGTGCCTGATTGTTGTCTCCTCAGAGAGCAGAAGGACCCTCTGTACCCTGCGGGATAAACTCTCACAGAAACATTCCAAGGAGCAGTTTGAGGCGGCACAGAAATATAGAGCAGGAGTACAGCCGCTTCTATCACAGGTTGGTGGAAGTAAACTTGTTATCCTTTTTAAGGCCTATAAATGGCATGGATACAGGAAATAATGGTAATAACAACACCTCATTTAGTGTGATTGCAAGACAGACAGCACAAGTGTGTAAAATACAAGTTTATCTTTTTAACCCTTATGTCACAGCCAGATTATTAAATTGTAATTTTCTGCGAATGATTTAAGTGATACAAAGAAGAATAAAATGCCTCCATTTTATGCTGTGGCAACAGAAATATCAGCACCAGACCTCCCAAACCCAAAAAAATGAAGGTGGAAATGGCGCCTTTAAAGGTGAGTCGGTTACATTGCAAGGGTGTCTTTTACCTACAAAAAAAGACAAAACATTTGCAAAATTGATCTAAAACCCAGTTAAAGTTATGAATGAAAAATTATTTATTATGGTCTAGTTCAGGGGTTCCCAACCTTTTTTCCCAAGAGCCCCCCCAAATGACTCCTGTTGGAAGTTGTGACCCCCCCCCACACAC